CATAAAGAAGAGAGAAACTGTTTTTGCTGGTGTGCTCGATTTGAGACTTGCCTGTCTCCTTGCACCGCTTTGAGATCTCAAATAAACTTTGATTGTTTCTCCACCCCGGTATGTTTATTGGCGTGAAGCACTCCGGGCACCGAACCCCACTGTTGCTGTCCTCGGGCCCCTGTGCCGGCAACAGCCCCACAAAATCTAACAGCCCCAAGCCCACAGGAGAGTTAATCCGGCCCTGATCAAGTGGTCATTCTTTGGCAAGGAAGCAGGGCAGGAACACACAGATCCGATCTTAGCAAACGACAGTACGAAACCTCTCCCCCACCAAACTGTGTGTCTCCTTGCTCTCAGCTGGAAAGAGCTTTTAACCAGGGGCCATGCTCAGGAACATGCTTTCCAAAGGGTGACTGAGCTATAAAAGAGGGCCAAAAACATCCCAAGTTATCTCTTCTTGTCCATCTCTCTCTTTCACCTAAGCGGACAAAAGAAAACAGCCATTGGACCTCGGGAGCAGTTCTTGCCCTGTAATTTGGTCAGCAATGCTCATGGAAATCTGCGTTAATGATTTCACCTTGAATCACGTCTAGTTTAAGTTGCGTACTAGGAAGCGTTTTATGTTTGTCTTGTAACCATTTGTGACTATAACTTGTACTTTTAAAAAAACTCTCTTTGTAGTTAAATGAACTTGTTTTGTTCTTTAATAGCAAATCATCCAGCGTTGTGAATCGTGTGGGGTACTCCATTTAAGGTGGTGTAGCTCGATGCCCTCACAGAGGCAAAGGACCGAATATATCTGGACAGTGCCAAACAGACATTTCCGCGGGGAAGACCGGGAGCGCGTCGGGATCACCGCGCACGTAGCGATCACCGCGCACGTAGCGATCGAGGCTGTCGGAAGCCAGAGCGTGGCCGGTGTTTGCTAACAGGCCGCCGGGGTCAGAATTGTCGGACCAGGGCCGTGGCGATACGCAGACATTCAGGGCGTGACCTGCAAGTCGTTTGGCTGTTTGTGAGCGGCCCTGCTCGGGAGCCACAGCAGCAAGGCATTGGGAGGCGCCCCACGTTGCAGCGGAGGTAGTGTATTCCTAGGATGATTTTACAAATTATAAAACTCTTCACATGTCACTAAAATCCAGCCCATCAGTTGGTTCCAGTTCTTCCACTTGGTACTCCTGGGGGAATTCCGCACCACTGCGTGTGCGCAGAATTTACATCCCACGCAAATTTCTTTGCTTTCCCACAGAAAAATGACTTTTTGATAAGGAAGCCACGAGAGCGGTCACGCAACCTTCCCCAGCAGTACGTTTGGGTGTCCAGGACAGCCGGCAGAGAGGTAAATCATTGTGGGGCAGGGGGCGGGACTGGGGAAGACCTTGCCGGTAGCTCCTAACATGTGCTGGACTCAGCTGCTAGTGCCATCTGGGCTGGGGAGGACGGGACTTCCTCTTCCCCTGCACGGCATCCGGGGTTGTGTCAGACCCACCCCCAGATTTCTCCCCCGGCTGTAGGAAGCGCTGCATGCACATCCCTCCCACACACACACTTCCTGCACCCATCGCTCTTCAGCTGCAGGGGGAGGGATCACTGTAGAGGGAGCTGCTCCCCCATCTGCCCAACCCCATGCATCCAGACCCCCTCATACTCAGACCTTCCCGCCAAGCCTCACCCCCCACACCCAGAACCCCCCTGACGAGCCCCACTTACCCCTCCACTGATTCCCCCCACACTCAGACCCCCCTGCTGAGCTCTATCCCCTCCAGGGCTCCCCCTTCCACTGAGCCCCAACCACGTTCACCTGGACACTCCGCCCCCCACCCCCCACAGAGTCCCATTACCGTTGCACCCAGAACCCTCCAACAAGCCCCAGTGGATTCAAGTCCTCCCCCTGCAGTCAGATCCCCCACTGAGCTGCCTGCACCCAGATTGCCCCACCCAGAGCCCTCTCAACCCTCACCTGGATCCCCACACACTAAGTCGCTCTAGATTTAGATCCTGCCTTGCTGAGCCTGCCTGCCCACGGCTGGTGCACCTAGCAAGGAGGGGCAGGGCCCTGGGCTGTTTCTGGGCCAGGCCCTGTCCTTGCGCTGCGTCAGGGTTGGGTGCAGCCTCACCGCTGAGTACCGGGGGGAGCTGCACAGTGATCTCCCGCCTCTGTGAAGCCGGTGGCCTGTGCTCCCCAATGCCATGCTGGAGCTTCCACATTTATTTGACAAATAAAATTTGCAGAATTTTAAAATACCGTGTACAGAATTTTTATTCTTTTGGTGCAGAACGCCCTCAGGAGTCACTTGTTCTATGCCATTCATTCTCCTTGTTTTGGATATTAGCATTCCAGGTACTGACCCCAGAAGGTACCTCTGTAGTTCGTACCGGGGCAAAATAGAAATGTATTTGGATTTTTGACAAGTGAGCTATCTGCTTATGTCACAGGCCAAGCGGCACTATCGCAACATGTAGCTTACCTGCTTCGCGTCGCCCGGGCGTTCAGTTCTGCCCGCCTTTCGGTTACAACACAGAGCCATCCCAGGGCTTCCGCAGTCCCCCTCCTGGGGCCAGCGGGTTACTTGTTTGATGGGTCAACAAAGGGCTCAGTGGCTAGTCACAAATCCCTGCATTGAATCATTGCCACCGGTCTGGTGTCCGTGACACAAGAGTATGTTAATGACAACTGGCAAGGGGGGTGCAGAGGGGTTACAGAAACATGAATGCCGGGGACACGCTAGTCATTAATATTGTGGTGAAATGTCGTACAGATACTATGTAAGGAGTTGTGTATTTATAAAATGAAAATGTGTGTTTAAACTCTGAAGGGGATATGTCTCTGTTGGGATGTGAATGTAGCATTGTAAAAGAAGAGACCGCACGCCTGTTTACATGCAAAGTTTATGTAATAAAGAGATGTGAACTCTACAGAAAAGGAGCGTGCAGGCAAAAAAGCCCCGGGGGATTATCCTGCCTTCGAGTAAAGACAGTGAACATCGGGGGTATATATAGAAGGCACAGAAGACACCCCTTCCTCCTGCACCTGGCAAGCGAAGGGACAGCGTGGGTCGCAGGCAGCCTCGCTTGAAAACGCCGCTGCAGACTTTGACTTTGGGTGAGAGAAACGTCTTCAGCCAGGAGGTTAACCTGATGGTTTGTATCTAAAAAGCGTGCTATGATTTTGGCGGTTTAGGTAATGACTGGTTTCCAACATTCTTATTAAACTCTGCTCTTTGTTAATAATTTTATTCTCAAGTTGAATCTTACAAGCCAGTATGTACTGTTCATTTGGGAAAGCGTTCAGTGGCAGAGGCTGGGCACCGTAGTGGGTGTGAGCGCCTAGCTCTTCCTGTCCAGGGAGCACAATCTGCGTGTAACTAGAGGGTGGGGGGTCAGGGAGTGGCTCCCCAGGAAGACTTCCTCATGCTAACAGGGGTGGTGGTGGTAGTGATAGTGAGGAGCCTCCTGACCCAGGGGAATGTCAGTGTGATAAAGCACCCTCTCACTTGTGCAACCTGCACCTGGTGCTGTACACTTCTCCACCTTGTGGTGGAGTCACAGCAAGGAGACGGCCGATGTCTGGCTTCTCCTTTCCATATCCTCTTAGTACAAGTTCAGTAGAGAGAAAATCAAAATGTGACAGAGGGTTGGTTATTGCTGCCCTAAGCGCTCTGCCCATTTCTCTCTCGTGTCACAGTTTGCTTTTGGGGCGGAATATTGTCTTTTTGGTCTGTGTCCCTGCGCTGCTTGGCTCCGGGTTGCTCGTGTAATGCAGGCAGAGGCTGTAGCTCATCGGGAGGGTCGCGGAACGTGACGTCACAGGCCCCGCGCATTTGGGAACAGCGTCCCATTGGTCGCCTGGCTGCCCAATGGGGAGGCGCGGGCGGGGTACAAAGCCGGAAGTGGCTCCCGCGCGAGAGAGCGGCGGCTGCTCCAGCATCCGGAGCAAGGAAGAAGCCGGAGCGGCGTGTGTGTCTCGCTGCCGGGTCGGGCCGCCGAGGAGAGCTCCCGGGCCCCGTGATTCCGGCGTTTGCTGCACGTCAGGGAAGGTACCGGGACCGCTCCCCCAACGCGAGAGCGCCGCGATGCCGGGGGGGGGCCCTGCTCCGCCGACTGCGGCAGCGACTCGCCCTGGGACTAGTTACTACAGAGCCTCAGTTCTGCTGCTTTTTGGGAATCTTTTTAAAATGTTTTCCTCTTAAAGAAAAACGTTGTTTGTGGAATAGCTTCACACAACTGAGGGCATTTCATTGTTGTTCAGTGCTTTGGTCATTTTGTAACTCAAAGCAATTATTTTCTTTCTTACAGATTGGCTGCAACCTGGGGGATAAATAATGTGCTTGTGACCATCATAGAATATCAGGGTTGGAAGGAGTCCCCGTCCCCCCTTGTAGTGCTAAAGGTTTCTTGTCCACTGCAACAGAGATTTCCACCCCAGTTACATGCAGTGGTGCCTACTAATTTCAAATTAAGTACTTAGCCTGACCAGGGGAGGAGGCAAGGACACCCATTGAATTCAGTGAGAATTTGCTGTCTAACCTGCCCCAGCTTTTAATGCTTCTTGTTGCCCTATCAATTTTGTTGTGATTGTTCCAGTATTTATAATCCCAAGTGTTTTCACTGGGCATGATATTTTATGTGAAAATATCCGCTTTCATTAACATTTATTAGGTACATTTTCTGAGCAAAGTGTAAAACTGTTACTGTTTAAAAATGTGTAATATTAACTCACCCACAAATATTGATAGATAACAAAATTCTTAATGTGATCATTTTGAATGTCTACTTGCTTAAATACAGATATGGACTGAAATTGACTTCTCCTCTCATCTCACATGATGCTGTATTTAAACAGTGCAAATAACTATACAGCCTTCAATAGAAACGAAACATTGTAATAATGCTAAATGATGCACATTTTAATTTAATTGCTTTAATTAATTTCCAAAGCTCTGGACCCAGGTACAAGTTTTCATAGACAAACTGTACTAATTAAACAGTGTTTTGTTTGGTCCATTTTACTCAGCTAGTAGTAGCAAAGAATCATCCAAGAGTTTCCTCCACACTTTGTTTTAAGATTTCACGTAACCTCCCCATGCTGATCCTAAAACACCAGGACAGTGCGGATACTGAAACAGAAAAAGTCATGTTAATGATTGATATCTCTGCTTTGGCCATTAATCACAGAATTTTAGTCATTCTTAGCCCAGCTGCACCATGGGGCTTGCAAGCCCTTTGGCGAACAGCATGCTTGAGGTGCAATTCCAGGATCAAGAACCTGGGATTAGCATTATTTTTGGGGGTGGAGGAATGTAATGGAGCAGGGTTAGTGTGTGGGTTATTAATGCATCTGTTGGGACTTGTCAATGTACATTTATTTACCCATGGAACGCTATGTGCAAACAAAAAGCATTCAGTGGAATCAAGCTGGCACCCTAAAACCAATTTAACACTTTCTTTACAAGAATTCTACAGTTTTCTTTCCTGCCGTCCAATCCAACTCACCATGTACCCCTAAGGTTTGCAATCATATACACAAAGCTCAGAATGGAAGAGATTCCTTAAACAGAAAACTGGATTTTATAATTTCCTACAGGCATCACTGAATTTTGTATGTGACAACTTAGAACTAATGTTTAATTTTCTAAATGACTTTCTGTAAGAGTTATTTCAATCATGGGGGCCTAAATTAGGGACCAGACACCCAGATCCTCACTTCCCACTGGGGATCTGGGCTCAAGTCAGTATTTAGGCAACCTGAATCTTATTTCCATTGGTATGATTTTCAGATGTACCAAAAAAAATCTCATGGTCAGAGATGTTTTGAAATCAAAAACAAATTTATAAAATGAGAATTAGAGTCAGATGGCTCTAAAACTGTAACTCCAGGGTTTGTGAGAGAACAAACTGTGAGCCTGGTGGAACGCTGCTGGGATCCTGTGACCAGAGGCAAGTAAAAGCAACCGTTTAATAGCCTGACGCTGGTAAAACTTTGCCAGGTCTTAAAGTGGCTCATAAACGATGTGTGTTGTGGACCTTTTCCTCCAGCAGCAAGACAGCACCAGCCACCAAAGCTGCATTTAAAAAAAAAGCTTTGCTAGCCTTTTCTTCCCCCCCTTTTGTGTGTGTGTGTGTGTGTGTGTGTTGTTTTGTCTTAAAGAAAACAAGATTGGACTAATGCTATCAAAAAGACTACTAAGCAGGGTTTCTACCTATAAAAGACAGCTACAGGGAGAGGAAATAAGGGATATTGTTCAAATGAAAGCTTTGCTTAATACTTTACCTTTTTACAGTGGGAGTAAGCCAGGGATAACTTGACATGAAACCCCAAGTCACATACCCTTTAGTCAGGTTTAGACACCTAAATTGATCCAAGAATCTGTGAATTTCACAAGCACACAACAGAGTTTGATCTGTGACGCTGACGGAGGCACTCCTACAATCACGCTCGTTCCGTAATTCATGTGGCAGGATGCCAGGGCAGCTGTCTGATTTAAAACAAAGAAACACTCTATAATCAGACAAAGACAGTTATCTACTAACAACATTATGAAATCATCTTCCACTCCAAGCTGTTAATTGGTTGCGTGACTGAAAATATTGTAAAGTCCTTTTGATATCAAATAAATATTGTGGCCCGTATCAGCCCATCTGCCATTGCGAGGTGAGGAGGGACAAAAAGCCTGGTGGAACCAAATATTGATAGGTGGGGGAGCCAAAGAGGGTAGTGCTGCCTCCTTGGCATCATTCCTCACCATTATTAGGCAGGAGTCTATCTACCTGCTCATTCTAGCAGCATGGCTACCGACTTCCAGGTGCCGCTGTGGCGGTACAGGATTTTTGTGCAGATGCCTTCATGCTTCTACAGATTGGAAAGAGTTGCTGGATTGGGGGTGAACCCCAATGCTGCTGCCTTGGGCGAGGGGGCAAAACCACTGCACTCACATCAAACAGAGGAAAGCAAAGCGCAGTTTTATACTAGTGTAACTCAATTAATTTCAGTAGAGATCAATGGAGTTACGTGCCATAAAACTGGAGTAATAAGGCCCTCAGAGTTTTCTGCCTCCTAGCTGAACATGGCCAGCATAGGGGGCAGTATATTTTCTTTTCAAAGTTTCTACAAAAAGTTCCCCCTCCCGCGATCCCAGAATATCAGTGTGAGGCATGTGGATTCCACCATTTTGAATTTCCACTTAACGCCTTGCAGGAGGCACTCAGCACCTCAGATTGGGTCCTTAGTGTGTCAAGACACTAGATAAGCGACTCTCACTGATATCTGGACAGAAGTTGATGAACGTCATCATCTTACATCTTTTGGTCACATACCATGGTATCAGTGCGTCCAATGACTTCAAAGGAATAGTCCACACCATTACCACCAGTCAGCTCCCTCAACACATCTTCAATGGGCTTTGTGAAGTCCTGAGGGTTGACGCACTCGGTGGCTCCTAACTCTTTAGCCTTGGCAAATTTGTCTTTGTTGATGTCAACCCCGATGATCCGAGAAGCACCAGCGGCTTTACAGCCCATGACAACTGAGAGGCCAACTCCTCCCAGACCGAAGACAGCACAGGTAGAACCACGTTCCACCTGCATAATCATAAAAACATCAGACTCTCTTAGAATACAAGTGATGTATAGTGATTCCACTGCATGAATGATCTTGTAAATCTTTTCATTTTAGGCTCTGCTTGTGTTGGATACTACACTTGTAAATTGGACGAAAGCAGTTTTGCTATTCAAAGTAAAGGTTCCCATCATTGGATTACAACTGGATAAAACCTACCACAGCATACATATGAGAGTAGGTTTGTATTAGAGATGTTCCCAAGTCACAAACTGTGCTTTTAGATCCAGATTTCTCATGCCCTCCTGTGTTTGGGGGTGTTCAGGTTAGGGCTTTGGGCTCAGCCCATTCTGGAGATGAGGCCAGCTGTAAAATCAGATACTCATGGGGATTTGGATTCGTAACCCTCCATATAAACTTTGGGGCTCTTCACATCCATGGCATTGGTTGGAGCCTCTCTCTACTTTTCATTAAGTATAGTCAAAAAAGAAACCTGAACTGGGCCAATTTTGCAGCATGAAAGCTGTTGCCACAGAAAACTGTCAAGCCCTGAAGAACTCCATGCTTTCAGGGAACCAATGATTTCATGGAAGGCCTTTATTTATTTAAGATAAATGAAAGGAAACCTTTTCGTAATTCAGTAAATGCAAGATTATTTACTCCTAAAAATGAGCCATAAGATAAATAAATAAATAAATAAAAACTAACAAACTAACAGAGAAAACCAACATGCGATAATACCACTTAGCTTTTGTATATAGCTTTTCATCTGTAGAACTCAAAGTGCCTCACAGATGGGGAAAGCGAGGGAGGTACAAAGAGATGATATTTCCTGGCCATGGTCAAACAGCATGTCAGCAGCAAAGCCAGTTCTCCTGACTCTCAGGCTGATGCCCTCTTTACTAGACCCACACAAATAAACAGCACTATCCCAACAACAGAGCTTGTCCTTAAAACGCACATGCTAATCCTCACCTTGGCAGTATTGAGGGCAGCCCCGTAACCGGTGGAAAATCCACAGCCGATCAGACACACTTTCTCCGGAGGAGCA